TGTTGCTTCCACTAGATCCTTGACCAGGGTCTCGTGTTGAATTGTACTACCACTCGAGGTAATATAACCTTGTCTTGCCCATGCCATCCTGTCATTGTGGACCACCCTAGAGACATACCTACTGTCTGTATAAATGTTAACTCCTTGTCCTTGTCCTAGCTGGGGAGCGGCAGAAAGTGCTCTTAGTTCAGCTACCTGTGCGGAGTGACATCCATTTATCCTTTCTCCTGCCAAAAGTTCCCCTTTCAAATTAACCACGGCCCACCTTGTCCAGGCCTCAACACCGTAATACTCGTGCACTCCATCTACAAACATGCATTTTACATCCACCCCCTCTAATGGCTCCTCCTTAACTCAACCCTGTCTGTCTTCTTCCTGTTCCATGAGGGGAATGCAATCGCATATCTCTCCTTCCTGATTCATACAGCTTGCTGGGTTTTTTTTATTATCTTTAACTACTACAACGTGCTTATCCCCTGGCTGCAGTGCAACATCCCATCTGGCTCACTGACTGTCTGTAACACCTCTCAGTCTGCCAGCTTCCAATAGCTGGGCTACATATACGGGGAGTATAATATCACCTTACCCCAGTTGTGTCAAGGGGGAGGATTTTATCCAGATCTGTAATAGAGATACAGGCTCCAGTATCTACTAAAATACTGCACTGTGGGCACCCTAACAGGGCATCAATACATATCCAGTTATCCTTATCCCTTTGTCTGTCGGATGCTGTTAGTCACTTGTCCTTGAGTAGCTTCTGAAATTCTTCTGCAGTTAATTGTATTGCAGTCTGTTTGCTCCTGTTGCCATTGGCAACTGGTTGGCGAATACTCTGCCTCTGTTTAAATCCCTGTTCCACCTTGCCTCCACATCAGAACCAGAAGTCTCCTTTTTTATGTGTCCTAGTTTTCCACAGTTCTCACATTTCTTAGTGGAGCAATTCTTGGTGAATTGTCGCACATGAAACACACTCCTTAATTTAGCTGTTTCAGACGGTCTCTCTGTCTATTGATGTTCCCTGTGACAACTGCTGCAAGTTTCTTAACATTCCCTTGGTTATTTTCTGCCTTCATAGACCAACTGAATACTTCGTTAAAGTTATTCCCAACTGGCAAATCTAGGTCAATCACTGTTTTCAAGTGTGTCTCCAATCCAATTTTATATTGTTAGAGAAAGACCTCATTATTCTTTTGGGGGTTCTGGATTCCTCCACTTTGTTTATGTGTCTCGAACCTGCATTTGGCCAAATCTTCTACTGATTCCCCTTTTTTCTGAGTGACCCAGGACACTTGTGTCCAATTTGGAGCGGGTTTGTCCAGGGCTCAGGCACAAGGTTGCCCTGAACTGTCTCCATTTCTGGGTTGGTGTTTGTCCTGCCATTGCTGTGATCCAAGTGCGGTCTTTAAAGGAAGCTGCTACACTTTCCCACACTGCCCTGGGGATTTTAGCTTTTGTTAGAACTTGTAGGTCATCAAGAGTCAGTCTGTGCCCCTCGGCGAGCTCTTCCAATTTTTCCCAAAATTCTATATTGGCTGAGTTTCTCATGGGCTTTGGGAGGGCGTATAATAGTGCCTGTCTCTCCCCTGGGGTCAGGGCGGCTTCTACCCTTAACTCCATCATTCTCCCTTGGAGATTTGTGAAGTATTTAGTGCAAATAGGGGCCATGCAATACAGGGATGGCCAGTCCCCATGTCCATGCCCGTCATCGTCATGGTGTTCAGTGTCGCAATCATTCGACTCATCGTCACTATTGCCCTCATCTCTTGTATACTGCCAAGAGTTTTCAGGCATTTCTGACTTGGGTGGTGCGAATGGCTGAGATGGAAATGTGACTCCTTTCAGAGTGTGTTTATCTTGTTCACTCCTCGCAATTACTACAGCTATCTTAATTTTTTTTCGCTGACTGTGCAGTGTTCTGTTTAAACAGAGCCGCTGGGATAATTAACCTTTTCTGTGCCTTGTCCTTTCTCTGGCCTAACCACCAAGCCTTCTTTTCTAATTCACTTCTCTTACTTTTCCAAAAATTTTGGGTCCTTAATCAGTGTTTTATATTCAAACACTATCGGCAGGATTGATCCTTAGCAAGTCTCCACTCTTATCTGCCATTCCCTCAGATTCCCTCCTGTTTTTATGTTTGAGACAGCTCTGTTGCCTCTCCTGTTCCTATTTATTAGCACAGGCTTCTGCTTTGAGACAATTTAAAGAGAAGGAGATAAGTTATGGCCTTTTTAACTTGATTTGTTTTATTTCAATTGATTTTAATCAACTATGATCAATTCCAAGAAGTAAACCTTTACTATCCCTTAAGATACAAGTTCTACGTCAACACTTTGTAGCAGGCTTTTTCCTTTGTATATGTCTGTGACTGGTTCCTTAAAGTGACATCGCTTTAACCATACATGTTCCAAACTAACGTAGACATACATGCTGCAATTTCAAATCATCACACGTTCCCAAAATACAAACTAAACTCAAACTCAATCCCCAGATCCCAGGCTCCAGAGAACAAAAACACACAATAGGTTAATGTTGTACTCAGAAACTGATCTCTGTCTTTTTTTGTCGCATGTGGTTTCTGTCTATCTCTTGAGGCTCTTCCCCCTCGATATTTTTATTCACCATCCTTTCAGCCCTGAGGTTTCTTACCCCGGTATGTTTTATGCACCTGAGGCAATCACGTTACCTCTCCTGTGCTTATCTCTTTAACACAGACCTTTGTTTTCTTTGCATGGCACCCTAATTACTACACTGTTAAACTCTGCTTTTCCCCATACTTGGTCCAGTTAAAAAGCTCTTTTGTGTTCTGACTTACAGAAGTGCTTATACACTGAGTGTTATGCTACCCATGGGGTGGTGAATCAAAACACACACCCAGTCCACAGTCCGTAATATGTAGGTGTCAGGCAGACCACCCTGCTCACAACACCAAACAGTAGGAGCGACCTTCGAGAGTAATAAATTCTCAGGAGACAAGCAGATGTGTGGTAATTTATTCAAGCATCCACCAGTACAATGCAGGGAGAGGCCAAAGACCACTCCCTCACCATCCTTCAGCCTCTCTGATGCCTTGTCAATGATTCCATCTCTCTTCCCAGCCTCTGAAACTGCCCTTGCTGACTCCACGCTCCTCATCTACCATCTCCTGAGACCACAAATGGAAAGGTATCATTTTGTGAGATATTTTGCAACGGGGACAGCTTCAGAAGACATTAAATGCAGTTCTGCAGCAGGTGGGACTTGTTCAAGATTGTGAGGTTACACCTCCACAGAGCTGGGATCACTGTAACTTGTGGGCAATTTAATTAGCCCTTGGGGAGTGGAAGGTGAATTAATTCAGCAGGATGTAGAACGTTAAGACGTAGTGTTAAAAATGAGAAACCGGGTGCACATTGTAGTGGGAGCGAAAGGTAGACATAAGACAGAAGTAGGTGAGATCATAGAAACTACAATGAGGCCTAATTTTAAGTACATCTATGTCAATGCACATAGTTTGTTTATAAGATTGATGAGCTGTAGGTCTAAACAGTGCTGTGGAAACATGATGTAGTGTACCTAATTGAGAACTGGCTCAAAACGGGATGAATTGATCCTCAATTTTCCTGGGTACAATATTCTTGCTGTAACATTGAACAAGATTTGATTGATCTTCCTCTCAACCCAGTTTAGCATCCAATTCCAAAATCCTTTGATTCCCTTGGTGTGCAGAAGTCAATCAATTAAGGGTCTAGGCCCAAAACGTCAGCCTTCCTGCTCCTGTGATGCTGCTTGGCCTGCGGTGTTCATCCAGCTCTACACCTTGTTATCTGCATATATAAAGGATCTTTCACAGCTATCGGATATCTCTAAGTGTTTTGCAGCCAATGAATGATTTTGCAGAGTACTGACCATATTAATATCGGAAACATTGCAACTGGTTTTCACACAGTGAAATACCTCAAACATCTATAAGACCTATTAATCTGCTTTTGTGATGTTGACTTACAAATAAGAAATGCCAGGAGTCTGTAGAGAGCTCCCCTCATCACTTTTGAAATAATGCCATTGGATCTGACATGACCAGCTGAGGGGCCAGACAGTGTTACAACCAGAGGCCAGATAAGGTCCCCCATGTTATTCTGGTTCTACTCAGGATACCACAAATTGTCAGGGTCCTGCATGAGGAGAGATGGGCAGAAGGAAATGACTTCTGCCATTTCAGCACTGCCATGATAACGGGACATTGAAATGTTCTGCAGTTGACTTCCCTCTTTGTCCCTTCTTCAGTCTGCTCCCTGACGGAAAGGATGACTCTTTAACATGGGCCTGAAATCTAAATACGGCATTGCCCAAACCAATCCTCACATTGAGAGTGAAGCAACTCACGGTAACATCAAAGCCTGACTCTCCACTCCACTGTTACCTTTTTAAATCTGCTGAGACTCTGTCAGCATGACTTCACAAATTCA